TCTTTAGAAATCACTGTTTTCCCCTATATATCACTCTCTGCGTGTGTGTGTGTGTGTATCACTGTTTTTTCATCTTTGTGTAGCATAGATATTTGAAATACTTTTCTCTGAAAGTGAGCCAGGCTTTGGTTATCCATTATTTTAAACCTCAGGGCTGTAATGATTGATTGTCCCAAGTTTATATTCATGTTTTAGTTATATCAATATTAGAGCATTTATCTTGCTTTTTTTTTAAAGATTTTATTTATTTATTTATTTATTTGACAGAGAGAGAGAGAGCGAGAGAGGGAACACAAGCAGGGGGAGTGGGAGAGGGAGAAGCAGGCTCCCTGCTGAGCAGGGAGCCCGATGCGGGGCTCGATCCCAGGACCCTGGGACCATGACCTGAGCCGAAGGCAGACGCTTAACGACTGAGCCACTCAGGCGCCCCCATCTTGCTTTTTTTTTTTTTTTAACACATTTGTCTAATCTCATATATTAAATTTATTTTATGTTATGTATGATACATAATGTGTGTTATGTTTGTCATCATTTTGTTTTTTTGTTGTATTTGCGTTTTCTTACTATTTACAATATGAGAAAGCTCTTCTAAGACTTAAATATATTTTCCCCACACACTAACAAGATAAAGCTTTCTCCTCTGTTATCATGGAAGGAATTTAGAAAGTTTTTTAAAAAATATTTTATGTATGTATGTATTTATTTAGAGTGAGAGAGGGGAGGGGCAGAGGGGGAGAGAGAGAGAATCTCAAGCAGATTCCATGCTGAGTGCAGAGCCCGATGCGGGGCTTGATCTTAGGACCCTGAAATCATTGATCTGAGCCAAAACCAGGAATTAGAATTAACCTACTGAGCCTCCCAGTGCCCTGGAATTTTAGGAAGTTTTAAGGACATTTCCAGTTTGTTTTTGAGACACAGAATTCATCAAGTAGAATTTATTCATGCCTTTCTTTGAGATTAGTAGTCTCCTTAAAATAATATATGTATATATGTATACATATACGGACTGATGATCTAGTAGAAATGACATATTATCACTAAGTCCTTAGGACATTTATGTATGTTTAGTTCACCCTTCATTTTTTTTCTTCAAAGATTGAGACCTTGTAATTAGCCTAACTGTGTAACAGAACTTTGTTAAATTACTAGAAGCGAAAAAGCATCTGAAAAATGAGGTCTGTTATTTTACTGCCTTAATAGCTCAAAGTAGGGGACCCCTGCCCCCGCCACCCACTTGTAAAGGGCTCTGAATCATTGAGGGATCTGTTTGTAAATACATATGCGTGGACACCATCCTCGAGCTTGTAATTCCTTGGCTAGGGGGGAAATCACTAAGGTAAACAGTTGTGTAGACAAGATTCTTTATGGCAACATTGTGGCACTGTACAGTTAGAAGCACTAGAAATATTCATCAAAACCCTATGAAGTGAACTGGATACACTGGTCCAGTGGAATTCCTAGCAGACATCAGAAGGATGATGAGGATGATGTCCCATGTACTGACTTGGAAAGACAGTAAATGTATGTATACGAAGTATAACCAGAACAGTGTGTATGTTTGATCCCACTTGTGTTTGTATATAACAAACTCTTGTGTTAGAATACACACAACTGTTAATTATGATTATCTCTGAGTGCAGGTTCTTTTGTTTTTCTTTTTATGAGCTTCCTAATTATTTGAGAAGGGGCCAGAGCAATTGTAGGCTGCCCGAGAGTTGGAAACGGGGCCCCGGCTCATGGAGCTACAGGCAGGATTGGGAAGGAAGTGATGGCAGATTGGGAGGCCCGAGCCAGTCCGGGCGCAAGGCCAGGTCTCCTCAACTCAGAGCAGAAGCTGTCACTAGAAATGAGCGTACCAGCTTCAGGGGACTCACTGTTGACCGTAGACTCACTGTTACGGAAAACAAATGAGGAACTAGACATTCTGTGAAGTGGTTTGTGATGGAGAACGTAGGTTCCAGAAGCCACAGGAGAAAGAGTTGTGTGCTTGGGGGGTTGCTGCAGAGGTGGGTGGCTGGAGGGGGACCCTGTGTAGAGTAGGCATGTCACAGCGTGTGCCTCCGAAGGGCTGGGAGCTGGGAAGCCTGGTGCAGACGGCCCGTGTGAAGGCTCTTGGCCAGATTCTGGCGTCCGGCCACTCAGCGAAGGCCGGGCGGGTGTCGTGGGCCGGCAGTACGGTGTCGTCTCACGGCGCGAGATGGGGCGCAGGCGACTGCTTGTACTGAAACCACGCAGGCTTGCCGGCTCCTGAGCTTTGTGTCTGCAGTGCGGGGCTCTAGGAGGACGTTCACCTGCAATTCTGCCTTCATTAACGGATTTCAGGTCTGACCCGGTGGTAGGCTTTGAACAGCTTCTCCGCACCCCTCTTTGTGAGGCATATTCTTTTTTGGTAGACAAAATGGCAAAAGCAATAGTTGGTTTTCTTATTTGTGAAGTGTCTTACTTTCTCCCCCAATAAAAGAGATAGAAGACAACCACTGGAGGATTTTACTTTTTCAAAATGACTCTGTGAATTTTGTTTATTTTACTTACTTCCAGAAATTTATGTAATTTGTATAACTAGTTGCTTAAAATTATTTCACTTTCTATATTTTTCTTTCTCATTGCTTTTTAATGTATATATTATCTAGTAAAGTACATAAAATTAATTTATCACATTTGTATATTTGTACAGTTCATTTTAGTTGTGGGGTGAGCTTTAAAATTTTTTTATTGATGTTTTTCTTAGAAATCATTCATTCCAGGGGCACCTGGGTGACTCATTTGAGCATCCGAGCCTTGGTTTCAGCTCAGGTCATGATGTCAGGGTCCTGGGATCGAGCCCCAAGTCAGGCTCCACGCTCTGTGGAGTCTGCTTGACATTCTCTCTCTCCCTCTGCCCCTCCTGCTGTCTCGCGTTCTCTCTCTCTAAAATAAATAGATAAATCTTTAAAAAAGAAAAAGAAACCATTCTATTAAGTTCAACAAGGAACAAGAAAGTGGATTATCAGATACTATTTATTTGGAGTTTATAATTTGAATTAAGTGGTACTTTTATGCTAATAGTTATTGAGCCTATCTGCATAAAATCCCAAATAATTGTGCCTGAGAGTTGCTGTTGTTTCCCCAAGAGACTTCCCATGTAAGCATTTGAATGTCACAGTTCCCTAAGCTGAGTCGTGACCTGCAACTCCCCTCTTCTCAGTTGCCCTTTTGGAGAATATTCCCGTGAGCTTTCTGTTCTCTTCCCCTAATTTATTGGGTCGTATTCTGTCCTCCTTGGCAGGTGTCATGCGCCCAAAGCTGTGTCCCTGGGACAGGTCCCCCTGCTCAAGTTACAGCCGGTGGAGTGGGGAAAAGAGTTGGGAGAAGGAGCAGTGACAAGTGCTGGCTTTGCCCAGAAAAGAGCGAGAGCATAGGGATCTAGAGGGGCAAGAGGAAGGGTGGGAGGGTGGAGAGATGGTGAGCGAGCCGGTGTTGGAATGCCACGCTGAGCAGTTGTGGTGATTAAGTACTTGAGAGGAAGCCACTGGAGGCATGTGTGCACTCTGTTGAGACAGGAGAAGGTTGAGCAGAGCAGTGATTTGGAGGCTAGCCTCGTCGTGGTGTGTCTCCATCAGATTCAGTATGTGGGTCCTGGGAAAGGTGACTCAAGCTGTTTGTTTTGAGTGGGAGCTGAGTTGCTAGGAAAAAGCCGGGGAGCACAGAACAGCGTTGGAGCTGCCGGAGAGAGAATGTCTCTGAATGGCCCTGATTCGGCTCCACTAGTCCAAGACACTTGTGAAATGGGAAACGTCTTGGCAGCTTTAGGGTTTGTGCTGTGTGGATTGAACATAGATCACAAGGGAGGGTTCTGAGTTCTCTTTGAAAACTAAATGGGCTTCTGATGCAAGCCTCAGGACTTAAGTCTGATATAGGAGTGACATGGCTTAGCTGAGCTACTGAGTTCTCTCCGGCTTTGTTATTTTTTCTCCATTATTTGAGATTCGTGGCAGCAGAATAGAAATGGGGCAACAGGTTTACGAGGCATTGGAGAAGTCAGATCCCCAGGACTGGCCAGTGACTTAACGAGACAGGGAAGGGAGTTCTCAGAAATTCTGAAATACCTGGCCCCGTATGACCGGGAGGAGGGGTGTTTGTCATGTACAAGGAGAGTTGGGAGAGGGAGGTAGGCTTTGGGGCAAAGAATCGAGCTGGAGTCTGGATGTCAGGGGAGGTTGGGACCACAGAGTCCTAAGAGGTGCCTGCCGAGAATCCTGGCACAGTGAAGCGAGCAGGGAGGTTGGGGGCCGGGCCCAGATCCTGGTGGACAGCTGTGCTGTCCTGGGGGAAGGAGGAGTAGCCAGGGGCGTGGACAGTGGGGGTCTTTCTCTTCATGTTCCAGGTGAATGCGGAGTAATTCAGAAGGCTCAGGTGTATGTTTGTCCTGAATTGCATATTTAACTCAAGAGCTTGATCAAGACATATTATTACATAGTCATCCGAAGGGGATTCTTCCTTTATTGAAAGTATGTCAAACCTGAAATACTTAAGTTAGCAGATTTGCTATTCACAGATAACCCTTCAATAAAATCTATGAAAATGCTGACTTGTTTTTAGAACAGAAGATCATGTTAGAATCATTTGTGTTTTGAGTTTATTAAAGTAGTTAGGGTGCAGTCTTTACACTGAATAAATAAGGGATTTAGTGTCCTGATTAACCTACATTTTGGATATAGTTTATTTAGATTCCATGCCAACAAATGTAGGAATCCATTAAAAATTGGCTGTAGAGCCAAAGGGAGTAGCTGTGATGTACAGATAGTCCCTATGTTGGAAAGTTTCTGTCTTGTATGAACTTTTAAGTGTTTCCCAGTGGGCCTTTTTCTAACACAATTAAGATAGCATTTAGCGGCAACACTGGAATCTATACTTTAACTCCTCAAAATTTTCATCTTCTGGGAAAAGCAGTTGCTTTTTAACATTTAACTTTTTTAGTAGCATTAACAGTGAATTATTCCTGATTTTCTTTTGGTTTGTAGGTCTTATCCAGCCCATTCCAAGAAACCAGTTTTTTCAAAGTTATTTTAATAATAATTTTGTAAACGAAGCAGATAGACCGTACAAGTGTTTTTACTGTCATCGTGCATATAAAAAATCTTGCCACCTTAAACAACACATCAGGTAAGGTAACAGATTCGGAAATGGAAAATGTAGAGGAAATGCAGTGATGTAGTGAGCTGGTGATGTGGAGAAGTAGTAAGGAGGGTAGTGTCAGCTTTGGGTATTTAAAATGTCGCACTCGACCCCAAAATATTTATTGGTGACTGATATCTTCATTCTTTAGTGTCTTGACTAAAATATTTTGCCCAGAAATTGTCACTGAGTTTTATTTGCATTCCTCTTATATTTCAGCATTTGCAATTTCTAGGACGTGTCAAACAAGTACTTGGTCTGTCGCATTACAGTTACGTACTTGAGCAGTTTTTCAGGTGTGTTCGTCAGCGTTTAGATTAATGCTTCTGCTAGCAGCAGTGAAAAGAAAGCAGAAACTCGGTCCCAAGAGACGGTGAAATGTCATGAAAGCACTTAGAACTAGGGGCAGGCTGCTGACGCAGCACTGTCTCCGCGGTGCACCATGTGTGTGTGGCTCCAGGCAAGTCACTCGAGCTCTCTGAATCCCGGGTTTCTCACTGCTTAGCTCTAAAAAGTGGTGCTCAAGTGAAAGAATGTACGAGTGCACTCTAGAGATAAAGCATTGTAAAGTTGTAAGAAGCTTATTCATGAAAATTTTTATTCTTTTTAGATCACATACAGGTGAAAAGCCTTTTAAATGTTCTCAGTGTGGAAGAGGCTTTGTTTCTGCAGGAGTGCTCAAAGCACACGTCCGAACGCACACTGGACTAAAATCTTTCAAGTGTCTGATATGTAACGGAGCTTTCACTACTGGTGGGAGCTTACGGCGACATATGGGTATCCATAATGACCTTCGTCCCTATATGTGTCCCTATTGCCAGAAAACATTTAAGACCTCACTAAATTGCAAAAAGCACATGAAAACCCATAGGTAGGTACAATTCTGATGGTCACTTTTTAGTAATCTGTAATTCCCAGATAGTGGTGGAGAGTGTTTTTAAGAAATAATTGTCTTTGATTCCTGTAGTATTATGTCTAGCTTGAGGTGTATGGGCTGAAGAAATTTTTACGTCGTTGTTAAGAGCCACAGACTAAAATGTTAATGCTTTTATTTTTAATATAATATTGAAGTAGTCTATATTGGGCTGAATGCTTTGTAAGCTCTCCTAAAACAGGCAGTAGTAGCTGAAATGCTAGCTAAACTATGGCTGATACTATAATTAGGTCATGAAGATTGCAAAAAGGAAAATCTTAGTCAACCAACCCTGTGATGTCTAGGCATGTCATCGATGTATCTGAACGGTCTCGATTCTGTGTTGTTGACTTAAACAGAATGTATGTTTTAGTTATCACATAAATCCATCATTAAAACTTACTTACATTTTTATTTGACTGGAGGGCTGTCTCATCTCTAAATGGAGGTGAGCCAGGAAGCCCTTGCAGGAATGCATTTCTGGCTGTATCTGGAGCTCATTCACCTGTGCTTCTGGGAAGCCACAGTAGTCTGTGTTGTAATGAAACGCCTGGATAAGGTGACCACATCCCGGGAGACTTTGAAAGTAAGCGTCACTAGGTCCACCATCAAAGAATAGTAAACCTTCTGCCCCAGAACATTTATTTTCAGGCAGTACTTTAACCCAGATATCTCTGCCTGATATTACCAACAAAACCAAACCCCAAATGGTAGAATAAGCTATCTGTGAGAAATAGGTGTTTGGTTTTATCCCTCTGATGCCCAAGCACATGGATGCCTAAGCACTTAGGGCAAAGAAGAATTGTCTTCTTTGATTTTGGCACAGTTGATTACTTGGCTGAGAAGTTTAATAGCTGGAATATGATGTTGGTGGTGTCAGTGTGGGGGACTCTTGGCAATTTTATATCCAGTTTATACTTTCCTGCATTTTATGGAGGAAATGATGGGCTTCACATGCATTTGAACTGGGGAATTCATGGTGCCTAGATGTTCAGGATCCTGTGCCCCCTGTCGCTATCCCGGGTGCCTGAGAGCAGTATGTGCCAGGAGGGTAGAGCTTAGACAGGACCTGGCCTGGTGGCACTCGAAGAAGACTTTTTCTGTCAGGAATTCAGGTTCTTTTAAGTCCGTGCACTTGCCGTGGTGGTGTGGGAGTCCACGCTGCGGGCCTCGTTGGTGGATGTGACAGCCAGGGGTAGAATTTCTGGGAAGTGGGTCAGCTGGTTTTGGCTGGGTTGCCTCTATTAGGTGGAGTGTTGCACTGGCCGCTGATTGTCATGGGTTATGCTGAGGGACACCTGGCACAGTTACTGTAGGAGATGAGTGTGTGGCTTGAGGTAACAGTGTAAACTGGTGGGTCTGTCATGCTGCAGAGCTGATGATCTCCTTCCACAGATTGTATGGACTCTTGATCCCACCTGCAGGCAGTGAGGAGCTCCCCTGTTTCATCCCTTCGTTTGAAGTGCTGGGAATTCCTAAAATACCATATACACTTATATTAAAAACAAGTATAAAAGGTAACAGTATAGAATAGTATAGAAAGTAGTAAAAGTACAGAATAAAAGTTACCGTGCAGAAAGTAGTAAAAGTACAGAAAAAAAGTTACCATGCAAGGCACACTTGCTCCCCTGTGGGGGGTTGTGGAGAGGCCCGGGGTGAACGTCCTGGCACTGCTGAGTCACCATCATAGTGAAGGTGTCACCGTGTACGTTTTCATACCTGCCTATTTCTATGACATTTTCCCCCTTCCTCAGTGAAAGTCGTTGAGAGGTGACTATTTTTGATATTAGAAAATGAAGAAGAAAGATTTTGTTTGGAACTAGAATGGAGTTCTAGGTAGGCAGATTCATAAGATTCTGGAATCAGGCAAATGGTGGAGTGTGTTTGTGTCTGACCCTGGTAATTTGGAGAGGGGAAGAGACTGGTCATGTCTCTGATACGATGCAGCCTATTCATCAGGTTTGAGCTGCTTTTTTTAAGTTCTTTGATTCATTCACTGAATTCACTGTTCAGTTTTCTCTTTGAAAGATAAATTGTTGACCTGGATGGAAATGTACTTCATATATTTACTATATGTAACAGCAATATTAACATGAGCATGGTTTTGCAGAAACTAGGAGCAGCCACGTGTATGCCTCCTGGTGGGTGTTCTGTCACGCAATAGATTGTTGCTCAAATAAGGTGTCTGTGCCCCGGACTGCAAGGGACAGCAGGTCGCGGGACTCTGCCCCCGGTCTCTGCACCACATTTGTTTATACTGCTGAGATCGGTCCGTAAAGGCCCTATCTTATTTTGTTCAATTCTTTTTTACTTATTGCAGAATGAGTTTTAATTTTAATTTTGAACTGGGACAGTTTTACCTTGGAACATATGTTATCTTTTTCATTTTCTTTTTACATTTTAAATATTCTGGCGTGTGTTGTCCTTCATCCTCTCTTTGCTGCTTTCATGTCCCTATCATCTGTGAAATCACTTAAAGTCAAGGGACCATGATTTTCCTTTAGAGTTATTAATAGCATTTCATTTCAACTGGATTGCCACCACGGCTTCAAAATGAAATAATTTTCTTAGATGTTATCTCATGATTGGCGGCTCGCACAGCAGTTCTTCATGGGAGTAGGTTTTGACAGCACCTAACTGTGCGGATTGTCGTTGATGTTTTGAAGATACGAGCTTGCCCAGCAGCTCCAGCAGCATCAGCAAGCTGCCTCGCTGGACGACAGCGCCGTGGACCAGCAGAGCATGCACGTCTCAACGCACATGCAGGTGGAGATGGAGAGCGAGCAGCTGCAGCCGGCGGCGGCGGCGTGCCCTGCGAACCCCGAGGCCATGCTGGACCTGGAGCCTCAGCAGGTCGTGCGCACGGAGGACGCGGGACTGGGTCAGCAGTTGACGCATCAGCCTCTGGAAGCAGATGAAGGCAAATATTTCACAAGTTCTAACTCTTAGAACAATCCGCATACTTTTGCAGCCGTGTATCCTCACTCCGGTCTGTGTGGGTGTCTCTCATCTCTGACATTTTCAGTCCCAATTTGTGCTGTGTGTACGCCTGAGAGAGAGTTTGCTGTGATAGAGAATTACAGACATAGGACCTTCAACACATCCTGTGTTGGGAGTAGCTTTCGTTTTCAGTAAGACCCCATCTGTCTGATCACTAGTGTCCTGTTACTGCGCAGCAAGAGTCTGACGCACACACCAGCGCGAGTCTGCGAGCCGTTGTCCTTGGCCTGCAGCGATCCAGCCATTGCTGTCCTCATCGATGGAGTCTTGCTACAAGGTGTCAGCTCAGCTGTAGACAGTGAGCTTGGGGATGTGGCTGATGCGTGTCTGGCACGGGCTGCTTCTCCCGGGCAGGCCTGCTAACAGACTGTTTGCTGGCCAGTTTACGGTCTGATAGTATGGAAGCCCCAGGTGTATTTAGTCGATGAGCAGGATTTTGTGCTTTTTATCCTCTGTGTTCTGGAACAATGCACATCCAAAAAGGTGTTAAATAGTCCTTGAGTGTCATTGTATGACATACCTCAGGGTATTTCCCTATTTGAAGACTGTCTCAGTTTTAGGGTGAACTGTGAAGTGATATTCTGGAAGTACAAAGATAATGCCTCAACTATATAAAATTATATATTTATATAAATATATACAAATATATATCCCACATATAAACATACAAGTGTTTATATACTTATGAATATATGATTTATATATAATATATATTTAACAAATAAGTTAATATGTAAACATAATTATCTATATATATATAAAAATTGCCATCCTGTCTTTTCAAAGTAAGGAGGCTAAGTTTTGAAACCTCATGTGAGTATCCTTTTGGACAGATCGGTGGATGTGCGCATCTTCGAAATGTATGAATTCCCCGCCCGTCTGTATTTTTATCTCAGACAGGTTCGTGGCTCCGCCACCCGCTCTCCAGGGGCACATGGACCAGTTTGAAGAGCAGGCCCCTCCGCAGCCATCCTTCGAACCGGCTGGCTTATCGCAGGGTCAGTGGTGGGTCCTGCGCGCGCGTTTCAGGGACTCTGCCCGGGTCAGGAGAATTCTACAACGGCCTGAGGGGTTTGTTTTAAGGCCCTTCTGAAATTTATGATTTCCAGCCCGGTAACTTTCCACATGGATTGCGTGTGTGTGCGCACGTGCGTGCATGCGGGTGTGCTATTTGTGGTCTGCTCAGGTTGTCTGAAAAGCACCTTTGATGACCATTCTGCACGTAGTTTGTGCCAAGAAACGGTGACTGAGTAGAAGTCAGGACGGTGGGACAGCCATGTGTTGATGGCTTGTCTGTGAGCCTGCCTGATAAGGGTGTGTGCTAGGTGCAGCCTCCTGCCTGTGCGCAGGTGTTCTTAGAGCCTGCTGGCAAAAGCTAACCCTGATTCTAATTCAGAAGGTAGAAATCTTTATTTGTGAAGCCACTTTTTTTGGCGTGACTGTAGTATTTTTTGTCGAGCTCATATTTTCTGATTTGTTTCAGGCTTTACCGTGACGGATTCGTACAGCCAACAGCCCACATTTGCCCCTGTCCAGCAGCTACAAGACTCCAGCACGCTGGAGTCTCAGGCCCTCTCCACCAGCTTCCATCAGCAGAACTTACTGCAGGTCCCCAGCTCTGATGCGATGAATGTCGTGAGTGTCCACGGAAGGGGCACGTGTCAGTGGCGGGCACATTCTGTTTTCCTCTGTGCTGTACTTATGCACGTTCAGCTTACCTAGGAGGGCATGCTCGCTTCTTGTGGCCACATGACTACATCACCTGTGAGGCTGAGATGCCCACGTACACGTCTTTTCCCGTCAGACATTTATATTTTACTTAGAGACTTCAATCCCATGATGGGGGATTTTACCTTTGGGTTAAAAGTCAGTAAAGTGCTGTGTAATCACATGTGAAGGGTCTTATGTGGCTTTAGTGACACAACCTAACTATTTTTAATGGTGGAATCTTAAATGTGGAATCTTACACCTTAGAACGAAAATATAAGGAATGCTGACATACTAAAAATAAATATTAAACGCATCATTTAAAATTTCTACTCGGTCTAGTTGGAGACATTTTAAGTTTTGGTTTTGGTTTTGGTTTTCCCATTTTGGGAGAGTTTTCACTAGTGATGGAAGTGATTGGCCCATCAGTTGTTTTCTTTCTTTACAAGCCACCATTGAGAAAGAACAGAGCCACTGTTGGTAGCTTCTCCAAGTGGTAGGCCTGGGCCCTCCAGTGAAAATTTCAGAGCACTTTTTCATAGCGTAGAAACCATGTAGTTCCGATGCTGAATCTGGGTAGAGTCTGGGCAGTGGGGAGCACGCTCTTCCGTGGTGACTTGCCCTTTACTCCAGAGCCCTCTGAATACAGCTACATGCCTGATGCACTTGGAGCGGATGAGGGGCCCTCTGCTTTGCTCAGAGAAGTCAGGTGACCGCCTGTTGCCGCACATGGGTGGGCTGTCCACCGTTCAGTCCTGTGCCTGTTCTGCATGTCCTGAAGGTCAGCTTACCTCTGTCCAGTGAGCGTCATGGTTTTCTGCAGTAGTCGGAAATCCTCGGGCAGGTCTGCTCGGTTCCTGCTGTGGTAGCGGGCTTGCTGCACCTGTTTCAGGAATGGGTGGTGCTGACGGGCTGCTCCCCGTGGGCATATGCTGTTGCTCTCGGGGTGGGGGGGGGGATGTTTCCTCTCCCTGTGGTTTTGTGGCAAGCGAGGTAGTAGGACTGTGTTCATTCTCAGTAAGACGAGAGCAGATGAGTAATCTCTTACTAAGATCCATAATAATGTGGACAGATCAGTTTCATGGTTGGCTAAATTTTGTATTAAAGCAAATTAATAGAAAGTAAATAAGTATTTAATAAAATTGGTATGAGTGATTTTTATTATTAATCTAGCCAAATGCTTACAATGAGCTACGTGGAGTTTCTCCTTTGAATCTGCATTTATAAATTTCTTATCCTTAGTTGTTCGTTGTTTTGCATTTATTTATAGATATTCAGGTAGTCTGCTTTATACTTTTGCTAAATTTTAGACAACGCGTTTGATCCAAGAGTCGTCCCAAGAGGAACTGGAGCTGCAGACTCAGCGTCCCCAATTCCTGGAGGACAGGGAGGACCAGAGCCGGCGCTCCTACAGGTAGCCGTCTGCACATCTCGACGCCATGGGGCGCTGCTGGCCCGACCGCTGTGCCCAGTGCGTGCTTCCCCCTGCCGGGCCTCTGCGATCTGCCTCTCTCAGAAACCCTGTGAACGGGTCCTCTCTTATCCCCATTTTATGATGATTAAAGGATCTGAGACAAAAGAGGTTCACCTGCTAAGATTTCTGCAGCTAGTTAGTGACAGGACCAAGGTTGGGAGGCCGCAGCCTATAGGTTTAACCTGCTCTGTCGTGGCTTTCCTGTTACCATGTTTTCAGAAATAACTGAAATTTACTGTGTGCCTGTTGTTAAAGGTTCTTTGTAGGCTTGATGCATAACAACCAAGGTGCACCATGATTGCAAAGACAGTTTTGAAGTCCACCTGTTCATCCTTCATTCACCTGTACGTTCAGTGGCATGTAGTGCGTGTGCTCAGCGTGCCTGCACTGCTCCGGACGCACGGACGAGGGCAGACTCTTGCCCCCGCTCGCGCTAGGCTGTGCACATTCACAGCGATTAAGATACATGTAGTTTTACAAAACTGGATACGACTCTGTGCGTCATGTAAGAAGCAAGATGCGTATTGTCTTTATTGAGATAGTCTTGGCTTCATAGTTTAATAGTTTTCTTATTGGAGATGGTGTGTCACTTTCATAGGACTCGCAAGGAGGTCAAGGGTTCCTCCCCCAAGACATTAAGAAACATGGAACCGGCAGCCTATAATTTCATTATATTTTTTACCTTTTGCCTCATTATTATGACAAAATAGAGAATAGCAAAGCTCCCTGAGATGTGCTTCCTGGACCCACGGCTCCAGAGGAGCTCTTTCTGTGGACCCTGCCCCTGGCAGCTGGGGGTGTTCCCTCGCCTCCCTGCGCGGCCCCTGCACTGCGACGGAGCACCTGAAGGCCGTGTGTACTCCCGGCGAGGTGGCTCTCCCAGGGCGAGTGAGTCCTCAGGGTTGGCTTCTGTCATCTAGGTTGTCCTTGGACACTGTGGGAGAATAGCTGCGTGGTCAGCAGAGCGGGCAAGGGTCATCCATGAGGAGAAAGGAAGCAGCGTTTTGGAGGCAGAGAAGGGCCCCGTCTCTGTGGACGGAGGGTCCTGGGTGGGAGCCCGGCTGGGGCCAGGTGGGGACAGTCTTGCTTCAGACTGTCCTCTGAGGGTAGCTGTGCCTCCACAGCACTGGTAGTGTTGTCCTGGCAGTGCTGGTTGCTTTTAGTTCATAGATGTGAACCCTAGAGCACCTTTCTCAGCAAACATCAAATGGTTTAGTTTGATGCACTCAGTTCTGCAAATAGATGATTTTCTCCTGCTGCTGTGTGTACCAGAACCAATCCCAGCTTCATTTGCAGCATTATCTTTCTCAAATCAGTCGATGAGTGCCGTTGGCTTGCTTTTCTCTTTTTAATGGGTACCCTCACTGAACCAAGCTTGTATCATGGAGTGAGATTTCAAAGTGTGTTTCCAGTTTGTCGGTCTTCAGTTCGGCATGGCCGTTAGCGGACTGTTAGCTGCTCTGTGCAGGTACCTGGTCCCAGAGGCGGTGGTTTGGAATGTGACTAACGTCCTGCTACAGCTTCAGACGGGGAAGTGGAAAAGGTTTCCGAATCCTTTTTTTAGTTTTTAATAATATGTGAATAAGAATTTTGAAATATTTCATAATTATTTCATCCTTGAAGTAATTTTAATATATTCTGTAACTTAGGGGAAAATGATACTGTACATTTACATATTATTCAAAATAGCTCTAGGAAAATCTGTTTTGTCATGTATTTTATAAACCTAAAGAGTATGTGAATTGGCATTTCCAAGTGTCTGGACTCAGGAGCGATTCTGACCCTGAGTCAGTGGAAGGTTTCACAGTGTCTTGTATGACTTAGTAAAGAAAATAGTTTGTAATAAATTTTTTTCCTGTTAGTTTCTGATTAATCAGGTAGTATGCCTCCTGGGGGATTGCTGTAGGATTTACTAGTAATGAAATAATAAAATATGTTTAAGATTACAGCTACTCTGAGCAGAATTTGATCTGACAAATTATTAGTGCTGCTATTTCATCATTTCTTAAATGTTGGAGCACACACCTGTGTGCAATGGTCACGCGTGATTGTTTAGTGATCATGGGGGCGACTGTCTTCTCCAGTCTCAGGGGGCACGCTCATTCTCGTGCCGTGAACTGACGCGGCGTCTGCTCTCCGCGCTGTTTATAGGTGTGAGTACTGCAGCAAAGGCTTTAAGAAGTCCAGCCACCTGAAGCAGCACGTGAGGTCCCACACCGGGGAGAAGCCCTACAAGTGCAGGCTCTGTGGACGCGGCTTTGTCTCTTCCGGGGTCCTCAAGTCGCACGAGAAGACACACACAGGTCGCTGTCTGCCGCGCTCGGGGCTCTGTGGGATCCAGGGTGTCGATGCCGGGCTGCGGCCGTCAGCACCACCCCTTCTAGACCATTCCCATCATAGCCAGAAGCAGCTCGGTATCTGTGAGTGCTCACTCCCCGTTTTCCTTCCGGGCCCCTGCCCCAGGCAGCCAGGGGTCTGCTGCCGTCTCTGCATCGGCCCGTTCTGGACATTCCATCTGCGTGCAAACACGCAGCTCCAGCTTCCTTTCCTGGGTGTGTGTCCGGGCTTCTTCCAGATATAGGCAGCACGTCACTCCCTTGTGGAGCAGAACAGTATTCCATGGTGGAGGTGGACCCCCTCTCCTTCCTCCATCATCCGCTGTTGACGTGGGAGTAATTCCCATCTTTAGGCTCATGGGAATCATCCTGCTGTGAACATGTATGTGCAGCTTACGTGGATGCGTTTCCATTTCTCCATTTAAGACTGGAATGGCTTGGTCATGGGGTAACTCTGTTTAAGCCTTTGAGTTGATCAGACTGTTTCTCTAAGTGGCTGCACTGTTTCACTTGTCCACCAGCGATGAGCGAGGGTGCCCCTTTCACACTTTGGTCAGCACTTGGCGTTGTTTGTCCCTTGTACCACGACCATCCCTAAGAGTGTGCCATGGTATCTGTTCCTGGGCTTCATTTGCGTTTCTCTAGTGGCTAAGGATTCGGAGCTCCCTTTCATGTGTGTGTTGAGAAGCAGCTCTTCTAATCCTGTGTCATTTTTGAATTAGATTATTTGCAGTCTTATTGTTGAGTTGTTTAAAGAGTTTTTAATATAGTCTTTATCAGATATATGATTTGCAGTTAAATATATTTTACATATGTTACTTTTGTCTGTTTAATAAATCCAGTATGTTTATTTCATATATTAATGAATCTGTTTAATACCAGTGTATTCTTTATAAGGCTTTATTTGAACATAAAAACATACCGACAGAGCAAGGACAGGCTTTGTAGGAGTAGTCACAGTTGGTGGTCACAGGCCCTGGGAAGACAGGCGGAGGGCAGGTCCCACGAAGGCCGGTTGGAAGGCCCTGCTAAGGAGTCAGCACTCCCCGTAGCAGAGAGGAGCCCGTGCGACTTGGACAAGGAGCCGTGGCCGGTCAGCGAGGTGCTTGGACAGTCAGGTGCCTCTGTGTCTTCAGTCCAGAACGGACAGGGCCTTCCTGGCAGGCCTGATTTGGAAGTGAAGCTATACTCAGGTGTTGTAGGCAGTTCTCGCGTCACTGGCTGTGGAATGGTGAAAGAAGATGGATTTGAGAAAACCTTTCTAAGGCAGAATCCACCACGTGTTGCCAGCTGGAATGTCAAAGACGGAAGTGGGAGCTCTCAGAGAGAGAGCTTGGCATTTGTTTAGAGCAATGTTCTTGTGCCTTTAATTCCACAAGCGCATTAGTCCTAAGACACGCTGTGTCCATTTCCTAAAATAAGACCAGGGCAAATAAACGGTCTTCAGTTTTGGGGCTTCTCGAACGTATGTTTGTTTGCTTTCGACTGCTGATACTTTAAGGTAATGAAATGCGGGTTTTGCTCTTGTTCCCGTTGCCACAGGGGTAAAGGCGTTCAGCTGCAGTGTCTGCAACGCCTCGTTCACGACCAACGGCAGCCTCACGCGGCACATGGCCACGCACATGAGCATGAAGCCCTACAAGTGTCCGTTCTGTGAGCAGGGCTTCCGGACCACAGTGCACTGTAAGAAGCACATGAAGAGGCACCAGGCCGTCCCCTCTGCTGTGTCCGCCACGGGGGAGGCGGAAGGAGGAGGTACTGCCCCGTGTTGATTCGAGGCTCAGTAACCAGATGCTCGTGTAGTGGTGGATTAGTGCACACGTCATCGTTAAAACTGGCTTGTTTTCTGACTGTGACAGCAGTGTGTGCTCTCTGGGAAAGGACTCAGGGCAGAGAAGGAAACCACCTCACCAGTCACCACAGCCCAGCACGTGCGCCGTAGCCGTGCAGATGCGAGTGGTGGTCGAGACACTAATTTCTGGACAAGCAGGGATTCGGGCTTACATGGTGGCTGCGGTCCCCTCGGCTTGCCCTCCGCTGGTGTCTGTCGCGGACGTCAGCTCCAGGGGCTCCGTGGAAGCCCGTCGTGTTCTGTTCCGTAATTCCCTCTGGCTGGACGTGTGCCTTCCGTCCAGGTCTCTCCCTGAGCCAGCAAGAGCCAGCAGTTAGGGAGGGCTGCACCCCTGCACTGGCCTGTGGGTGCACTGCAGTACCTCAGCTCGTCGGCGCGAAGCACCGTGTAGCTAGCTCAGGTTCAGACGAGCCGATGAGCGCGCCTTGCTCCCCGTAAGGGCCGTCCTCCTGGGAAGAGCACTGTGTGTGTATGAGGTGACCTCTCTTCAGCACATCCCAGGGGTGAGATGCCAGGATTAGGAATGTGCTGTTGTCTGTTTGGACCACACAGCATTTGAGCCCTGTCACCCGACGGTGCACCCACAGTGTGAGGCCTGACGGTGTGCACGGGGTTGGTGCAGCATGTTTGTGGAGTGAGCGTGACGCAGCTGGGGAGTGAGTGTTGGTTGGCGTGCTTGCAGCCATCAGAAGGCTGGCGGCTCGTTGGCTTCTGTCCCCAGTTGCTTACCCCCGTGTGCTCTGTGCTCACCTGGCCTCGAGGTCACGGTAGTCTCCCCTGCGCTCGGCTGACAGGACGGCCCTGTAGCTTGTTCTTATATTTGGGGAAAACGTCTTTAAAATGTGCCTAACCTACCTACAGACGTAAAGACTGACGTCTGCACAGCAGAGCAGCAGCTGCTCTGGGCTCTTCAGTGGGTCATTCTGAATGTCGATGTTTCCGACCTCTTGGACTTTGTCACCATGTGGCGCCAGCTTTTCAGTCTCATCGTTGCCCTTCAGTCATGTGATGAGTGAAGTACAAGGAGAGAATAATAGCTCTTCTCCTTGCAGTGAGTTACAGAACGTAGGACACCACGTACTGCTCTGGCACCCTGTGGTGTGGAGCTGATGCAGCAGCCTCCGGGTCTGAGCCCCTGTTCCTTCTCGTCGGCTGGGGGGGCTCCTGTGGCGGCCTGTATGTTAGCTCCCCACAGTCTTTCGTGGGGTTTTCCTCTCTGGGGTCCCCGAGGAAGAGCAGCTGATGCGCTGCTTCCCGCCCTAGGGTTTACCCCATCACGTGTGCTGGGACAGTGAGCCCGGGTGGCCCGATTCCATGGGGTTCTGTGTCTTCTGTGGATTGTGCTCCGTTTCACTGCCTTTTGCCCTCCCGTGGCTTCGCCATATTGATTGGGTTCTTGGACCTCTCTCTCCACCTTTCATTATCCGTGCTGGTGGGGCCACTGTCTATACCCCCACGGCCCCAGATCTTTCCAGATGTTGCTCTGTCCTCCACAGCCCGCCTTCCCTCTTCCCACCTCGGCCCCGCTCTCTCTCCTTCTCTCCCTCCTCCCATCGTTCTCCCTTTATCCGAACAGAAACACCCTGTAGCTCTTGTCACTAATATGGTGCTAGCCCGTGTCCATTGGCTAGTTGGTGTTTCTGTCGAGGTTTTATTCTTCTAGTTCTTAGTCATCTGTGCCATTCTGACCTCCCACTCCCAGCCAACTTTTTTTCTTTCTGTTAGATTTTATAAAATCGCACCTTATTCTTGTTTTCAATCAGTGTAAATATATTCTTACGTCTCACTGAGAGAATACTTAAATGTATATATTGTAAGGGTTTTTTTGGTAACTAATTAGGGCCTTTTTGCAAATTTATCACCTTGGTCTTCTGTCTTGGGCTGTGGATTTTCTTTATGTGATGATAATTCTGTTTTTGCCTGTATTAGTCAGCGAGTGTCTGTGTTTATGAATGCTGGTGTCGTGTGTGGATGCTGTTGATTTCGGAGCTCTCTGCCGGGCTGGTCCTCAGGGAGGCACTGTTGTGATGAGGTGACCACAGTGCATCTCCCTTCTGGGGACCCATCTCGGTTTCCCCACGGACTAGCAGTGCGAAGGAAACTCCTTTGTCCCAAAGAGAGCTTCACCGAGTAACTCACTTCAAACCCTACAGAATTGTTTGGTTTCATTTTACTTGTTTCGTGAAAACTTAATTTTTTATGAGGTTTGGATCCGTTTCCTGTATTTTATTTAGATGTGTGTATGGAGGAAGAGGAAGAGAATTCTGAAAGAAGTGCATCTCGAAAAGCTCGTCCCGAGGTCATCACTTTCACAGAGGAGGAGACAGCGCAGTTAGCGAAGATTCGGCCGCAGGAAAGCGCGACCGTCTCCGAGCAGGTCCTGGTGCAGTCGGCGGCCGAGAAGGACCGCATCAGCGAGATGAAGGACAGGCAGGCGGAGCTGGAGGCCGAGCCCAAGTACGCTAACTGCTGCTCATACTGCCCCAAGAGCTTCAAGAAGCCTAGCGACCTGGTGAGGTGAGTCCGCCGGCGCCCTTCTCAGCGTTTGCGGGAGCGTCTGTGTGCGCCTCGACCATTTCGCCGCGGCTAGGGAGGCCTGCTTCGGAGGCTGGTGCCTCCTGAGAGGCTGGCCAGTTTCTACAGCAGCGGTTTTAAGCCGGTGTAGGCTCTGGGGCTTCCACTCAGGCTCATTCGGAATGTTGGTGAGAAAGCAGTGCACTCCGTAGATGGCTTGTACGCAGGTCTAAACGGCTGTGCTGGGGACAGGGCCCTTCATCCGCGGTGTGTCCGTCCGTCCCCTGAGTGGGCCGTCCTCCTCCTGACCTTTGTGACAAGGTCGTGGTGGCCTACCTCTGCCTCACGCGCGTGTTTCGTCATCTCTTCCCCCCGGAAGACGGCGGGGGGGAGTCCAGTGCGGTGCTGTGACAGGGACAGAGCGTATTCACCTGACGTGTATCACAGTGTGGTGTTGTGGTCGTTCTACCTAATCATCAGTCATTGTAGTTAGGGTCTTACCTAGGCCTAATTTAGAAATTCAACCTCATGAGAAGTACCATGTAGGTACAGGAGAAACCGTGTACATAGGGTTTGGTACATCCGTGCTTTCAGGCATCCCCTGGGGGTCTCAGAACATATTCCTGTGGATAGGGGGACTACTGCAGGTAAAAAAAAAGAAAGAAAGAAAGAAAATGAATTATTTATTGAGGATGACACGGTGCTAAGCTGTGTAGGTTTGCGGACCACATCAGGGACCTGCTACCCCCAGGAGTGCTGGTCTGTGTAGGGAGCGAGGGCACAAGCACACGCCAGGGTGGATGGTGACAGTGTCATGAGGCAGCCTGTGATTAAGGCCAGTCAGCCTGATAGCAGCGACTGGCGTGAGGTCAAGTCCAGCAGGACGGTAAGAACTAGAACCCAGGACCCTGAGGCTGAGCCTGGGAGAAAGAAGTGGGAGGTAAAGCGTTGTCCTGCAGTACAAAACCGGGTACTTAGTGTTTGCTCTAGGAGGGAGCTGATGGGTGAAGGTGTAGGGCAGCATAGCGCAGGGAAGAGCAGTTGGGATTTCGTGGTGGGTGATGGAGCAGGCTGCTCTCAGGACCCTCCACGTGGGTGGGACAGAGGCTGGTGGCAGAGTGGCTCCCGTGTTGGAAGTGCGTGTCCAGTGAGTCTGTAGAAGGTGACAGCTAGCCTGCACTCTTCTTCCCACATGGGAAGGGAAGTATGCCAGTGAGGGTGATGGTGAAGTCGGTGAGTGGGGTTTAGAGTGAGTCCACAGGGAGCCGGCAGTGTCCCTCCCGGGCACCCCCTGAGGTGAGGGGTGCAGTCGAGGCCGGGGAGTAAGACAGCAAAGCAGATGGCGAGGAGAGCACTAGGCACTTTGGGGAAGGAATTGGGGTGCTTTGTAGGTAGGAGTGCAGCCTGGCAGGAGGGGTGCCAGGAGGGGAGCACAAGGGGCAGCTGGTGGGAAGAGCCAGGTCAGCGTGAGGGGCTGGTTGGGAATCCCCGACGAGAATGCCCTGAGGGCCAGGGCTGCCAGCGTGGAGGTGGTGGAGGCAGCACTGCGGGGGTCCACACGCCACGTCAGACCCCTGCAAGGCTGTGGGCCTATGGACAGTGCCGAGGGGTAGCCCGCCAAGACACAGGGCAGAGGCGAGAAACCACTTGGTTGTCGGCACGTATGAATGCATCTGCATCACGACATGGGGAGTGATGCCTAACAGCGAGAAGCGCTGGAGAGCCTCACAGCTGATTGATCCTTTTGTTCTGTCCTGCATTTAAAAGTCGTGGGCAGCTCAGCCTGTCCTGCTAGATACTGGGCAGAGATCATAGGGAAGCAAAACAAAACAGAAGCATAGCATGGGAGGCCGTCAGGTGAAAAATAGTCCTTCCTGCTCCCCACAGACAGCCAGTCAGCAGTTTCTTAGGTACGGTTTTGAGAAATGTCCACATATATGTCAGCGTTAAGTTCTGCAATTTTATTTGTTGCATAATTTTTACATATCATTGGGTCTTAGATATCTTTGTCAGTACCTGCACACCCATTACTTTCCTGTTAATGGTGACATAGTGTTCTCTTGTCAGGGAATATTAAAATTTATCCCATAACACACTGGTATGAGCATTTAGCTTTCCATGTTCAATTACTACACGAGTATTACACGAGTACTGCACGAGTACTGTGTAAGCACTGCACAAGTACTGCATGAGCACTGCATGAGTACTGTGCAAGCACTACATGAGCACCGGATGAGTATCACATTACACAAGTATTGTGCGAGCACAATACAAGTACCACGTGAGTACTGTGCGAGCACTGCACGATCACTATACAAGTACTGCACGAGTACTGCACAAGTACTACAAGAGCACCGGATGAGTAACACATGAACACCGCACAAGTACTACATGAGCACTCATGAGTACTGCACGAGCACTGCGTGATCAACGCATGAGCATTGCACGAGCACTCTACAGGTACTGCATGAACACTGCAGAGTACTATATGAGCACCACGTGAGGACTGCAGAGTACTATACGAGCACTGGAGAGTACTATACGAGCACTGGAGAGTACTATACGAGCACCGCATGAGTACTGCAGCGTACTATACGAGTACTGCATGAGCACTGCATGAATACTGCAGCGTACTATACGAGCCCCGCATGAGTACTGCAG